AAAATCGCGTATTATTATTATTACTTTTATCTCCACCGGTTAAACATCCTTACACACGGTTATACATGTATACATTATTTTACTATATTATACGGATGCTGCTTAAAGGTTGTTTATCCGTTGACCGTTGTCAAACCCTCGTTTGTAAGTGTATGTGAACAATGGTTAAATACTGCAGTTTTTGTAGTGGTGGTTGTGTTTACATTTGTTATCTATATATAAATAAATAAAAATCATAATCAAATTGTCGACATCTTTTATTATTATTATTAATAGTAGTAATTAAAGTATAATTATAATGAATTTATCTTGTACAAAATAATTATTAAACAATATATTGTTTAAAATGAATATAATATAAAATAAATCTACTTGATATTATATTTATATATAATTTACAATTTGCGCACTTCTCCGGTAAATGCGTTGTATTCCATTTGACAGTCGTGTATGATAACACAGTACAGTGAAGTTTTAGCGGGAAATTGATTTACACATTCGAAATCCAAACGTAGATCCACTGTGGACGATTTGACAGTTTCGTTTTGTTTCGAACAATCTATAACGAATATAGGTCTGATTTTTTTGAAGTTGACCCGATCCAAATAAGGGTAAGGATTCAGCCGACCGTAGTACATTGATTGAAATTGTGCGTACGAGTTATAAAATATCGCGTACTTGCCATTGTCAAAATCTGCATTTTGGTTTGCGTACGGGTACTCGTCCGCGTTCAGATACGCTTTAATGTTGCGCAGAGAATAATGGTTGAAATTTCCGTGTACCCCATCGGATTCCGTCACCATGGCTATGAGTAAATACCTGGGTTTTTCAACACCTGAGTACGCACGCACCGGCCACGTATGAGCGGTTGTTTGCGGAACCAGTGGGTATACTGCTGTGTCCCAGTGTTGAAACTCTAACGGTAACCATTTTTTATTATCCAATATACGCATTAGACCCAATTCCGTTTTCACATTTGGTTCGAAATACTTCACCCATTTAATTTTTGTAATATCCACTTTCGAAAAATCCTATACACATGTACAGCGGACATTGTGCTATGAATTCGTTGTCATCCATGAAGTCTTCGTCTTTGTATAATTTATTTTCGTTTTTCCATCCGGCTGGTTGTAACCGTACGATATCGTTAGGCGTGAACGAACAGTATCCTTTCATAGTCGTAGTGACACCAATATTTTTTGTTTTATCAATTGTCTGATTGTTTATTTAAAATCTAATTCCATCAAAAAGATTCATCATAGAATTTTGATACATTACTACTGTACCGACGGCTGCAAGCCGGGATATTGCGTTTGGCTGCAAACAGTGCTTTTTGTGCTGTAATTTGTAAATTTGGCACATCTTTTTTTTTTTTTATTTTGAATCCCATACCAAGTTTGCGTTTCAACTTCATCGTATTTGTCACACCCCAAGTCATAGCACGTTCTGATAAATTCGCGTCCTTGGCACGCACTCGTTCCCACTCTTAGTGTTCTAAAATTTTATCAGCGTGATGACGGTCCTTAAGAGAATTACTCTTGGCGTATGCTATATCGTGATCACGACATGCTGCATCCAATGGATTGATACCACGGTCACCACGAATCAAACGTTTTTGTAATTTAGTTCCGGGGCCCGCGAACTGATATCCTGGCACGTGAGCTTCGAACGGAAGACTGTTAATTACTAAGTTTACAATACCGGAACCTCATTTCCGTCGTACACCACGACGTCGTTACGACCGTTGCTCTTTCATTTTCACTTTTAATGTGAAAATACAGATTTCTATTATATTTAAAGTATAAAATAAACAAACAAAAGAGCTCTCTGGTGATAATGAAAAAAGTATAAAAGGAAAACAAAAGATTATAACATTTAATAAACCATAACATTTTCAATAGCGCAAGAAGATATGTTACTGTTTAAATATTAATATAATTAATAATAATTATAATAGAAAAATAAATAAATGATTTGTGATACGTTTTGAAAAACAGAACGAAACGCTAGCCGTTGTCAATTTTGACGATCAAGCAGATTTGCAACAACTACATAACANGTCAATTTTGACGATCAAGCAGATTTGCAACAACTACATCAACAATATAAACATGGAAAGTTATTGCCAAACACTATACGAGCTATCATATGCGGACCGTCAAATTGTGGAAAAACCAATTTAATTTTTACACTTTTGTGCGATTCGAATGGTTTGAGATTTGAAAACGTATATATATATTCCAAGTCTTTGGGTCAATACAAATATCAATTTTTAATTCAAGTGTTGAAAGGAATCGAAGGAATTCAGTTGTTCACATTTGAAAATGGCGATGATGTACCACACGTGGATTTGGTTCTACCCAATTCGGTGTTTATTTTTGACGATGTGGTCATGGAAAACAGAATGTAATGTGTGATTATTTCGTACGCAGTCGACATAAAAGGGTTGATGTCTTTTTCCTCTCACATACCCTGTCTCGCATACAAAAACAAATGTTGCGAGATAATGCAAATGTGGTGGTGTTGTTTCGACAAGACGAAGTCAATTTGCGACACGCGTACGATGAATACGTGTGTTGTGATATGAAATTTAATGAATTCAAAGAATTTTGCAGACATTGTTGGGAAAATGATAAATATGGCTTCGCAGTATTATGTACGGATTTCGCACGTGACAGTGGTCGATACAGGTATAAGTTTGATACGTATGTAACAATATGAATGCTGAAAATATTAATAATAATAATGATAACGATAATAATGAGAAAAAGAAAAAAGAATCCACGATGAAGTTATTGGACCAAGCCCGAGAGAATATTAGACGAAAATACACAGAGTTGCGTCGTAATGAATCGTAGACGATGACTAGCGTTCAACAAAAACTAGCACCTATAATCGAACCATTGAATAAAATTTCTAATGCAACCGTCGTTAATGCTAATACGCAGAAACACCAACAACAACAACAACAATTTGACTCTGAAGGTAACAGTTTTTTAGAGTTATCTTTTATGCATCTAATAGAACAATGGACTAAAAATCCAAATAGAGATAAAGTATATGGCCCGAAAATCCAACCGGATGGTACGTTAAGTATGGACGATAAGAATGATATAACCGTAAATGGAGATAGTGTTCGTGTTTACGGAATAAAATATCCATTGTCGATGGGCTTCGTTAATTTATTATTTTTGAAAAATCCTATCACATACAACGATAGTGATTTGGAAACGTACAAGACAATATTGGAGGAAACCGGAGCTCATTTAAATAGAAATTTGACGTTGAAAAAAGGCGGCGCTAAGTATGTGGAAATTATTGACGCGGTCGCATTGCACTTCCGGCTTTACCGCTGGATGGCGACTGCGACACAGCTACCTCTCCTCGTCCGACAGGTCGCGCGACGCCGAGTGACCGCGGGTGACGCGAACCGGTCCAGGCCGCCGGCCACCATATACTTCATATATTATCGTAGTTAAACTATTGTCTACTTCCTTTTGGAGTTAATATTGTTGTTTAAGTTCTTATATATAATAAGTTAAAATATATGCTAACATAAAGTTGAACATAACGGTGTTATTAATTATTATTATTAAATTATCACCTAACCACAACATTATCGAACCAATGTTCGGTAATATCAAGTGGTCGGGTTTACAATTGAAAGTCAACGTCAGTGGAAACGACAAGAAAGAGTACTTATACTGGGACGACCCCAATGAACTTGTGCAACGTTTGAAGTTGCTTGTAACGGCTTAGTCTGCCGGCAACAGTGGAGTGTCGCCCGAGATTACTTCCATACTAGAAGAACTACACGAAGCTGGATACATTAAAGGCATACCGTCTACATTATGAAAACGAAAATTGCACACGAACTACCCCGCCCGGCTTGGAAAACGTATATACGACGGCGTTTTAATATTAAGGGAATCGATGATTTATGGCATGCCGACTTAGTGGAGGTGACTACGTACAGTGCAGTACGCATTAAATTACGAAAAATACCCGATAATTTACCAATTAAATTTCGAGTAGGCGACAAAGTGAGAATTAGCAAAACGAAATCCGTGTTTGACAAGGGCTATTTGCCCAACTGGAGCAGTGAACTGTTCACCGCAATCAAGGTCAAACGTACATTGCCGCCAACATATTATTTGGAAGACTACCAGGGAAATCCCATTCAGGGTACGTTTTACATCGAAGAGTTGAGTCGCACACAGTATCCGGAGACGTATCTTATAGAACGAGTGTTGCGCACACGCTGAAATAAGTGTTACATTAAATAGTTGGGTTTTAGACCGGAACACAACTCATGGATACCGATAACAAATTTCTCACGACAATGATTGTCAATATACAAGGGGTGGTGGCGACCAATCGTTCGTTTGTGATCAACAACGAAATGTCTGTTACAGATTTGAACTCAATGTCTCTCGCTCACTGGATATTCAAAATGTCAAAATCGTTCGCTACTGAAGACGATACGAAGATCAACTACTGGGTAAAAAAATATCATCAAGGTTTAGACGCAAATATTGGTGACGTCGAATATTCCGAATTGCCAAAAATAATGGCACTGCTACGGTGTGAAATTATCTACGTGAAAGGCGTGCAGAAAAAACAAATATTGCAAAATTATTTACCCGGGCAAAATGTTTACGAAATCGAAGAAGAGTGCCCACTACTACGAAAATTATGTGAAGAATTCCAACCACGTTGTATCAGACATATGAACAACCACAAAATGTGTAGTTTATACAAAGTAATGTGTATGAAACAGTGGTTAACTGATAATTCATAATACTTTTATTATTATTATAATTATTTTTTACATATACTTGATGTATTACTTTGTTCAATAAAATAAATTTAACTAATTATATGCTGTTTATTTATTCTGTCAGTTTGTGAGTATATATATATATGTAAGTATATAATACATAACCATATCAGTAATTGTAGTACATTTTTATAATTTATTTTATTAAACATTTGCATACATTTAATTCAATAAAATTTAAATACATATTATTTATATGACTACTCTATTATGCATTATCATACATTGATATATAAATAAAATATTATTCGTTGACATTCGAGTTTTGTAGGGAATAATGTCCCCACGCTTTTGTGTACATATCTTTGTATTCACATTAGTCACCGACCATCGCACGCTTGTCATAGTTGTTGGACAACACGAGCTTATCAATTTCTACCGTTGAAACGCGGTGATTTTTAGAACGTATTAACGACATTTTCTTTCGTATTTGTTTGAGCCTGTCCCGCAAACAATTTAAATAATCAACCATCTTGATTTCGTGTTTGACTACATCTTGACCCACACCTTTCAATCGTTTCACTTCATCGACGTCTCTCGTAAACACTTTATCACTGTAGTTTTGCAAAGTTGTCAAATATGCATAGACTTTGGGCAATAATGCGATAATTTCTTGCATGTGCATGCCCTTGCATTCGTCAGTAAACGTACCCGGTTGTTTTTTACGTTTATCGGTGTAACACGGGTGGTCGGTTAGATAATTGGATGTATCGAAATATTCGAGCAGGTAATTTTTCAATCATCGTGAAAACTATTAGTCATAATTAGGTAGATAAAAGAATCGGTGTCCATGTAACATAACATGAGCCTTTCCGGTCCATATAACGGTAACATAACTTCATAATGGAATTTGTACATTATAGTTTTACTGATATCCAATATTGCCTGCCCGATAAAAATTGGTTTATAAAAATTAATCCTCTCCTTGTACATGTGAATAGCAACTAAATCTTCGCTGAATATGGTGCTGTGGCTATACGACGGTTTTGCAGCCAACTTTAACAATTTCTCCGGGTTACATACGAGTTTGATATTTTGGTGTTTTCTAACATTCTCCAAAGTTTTTCCTATAAAGTCAAAAANGTAGCTAATTGATTTTTTATGACATCGATATTAGCAGGTACACAGCATTGTTATTATCAATGATAGTAAAGCACATTGTTATGAGTTTATAAATACACTAACTGACAATACAGAAGGTATATCTATTGATAATCACAATTAATAATAAACAATCCGTGACTGAGACAGCATTGTCATAAAAATCCAATTAACTACCTGTATTTACAATCCCATGTGTATTATACATGTATATTAACTCAAAATTTTGAAACTTTAAATGTTTATATCTAATAAGCTAATAAAGTTATATTAAAAATTCAAATGCCATTTACTATTAAATGAAATACTCAAACATTTTATTAAATTAAAAATATGTGTTACCATTTAAAAAATCAAAGTTGACCTCCCTCCAACGCATAAATGATGAACTTAAAAAGTATTACATAGTTAAAAATTCAAGAATACTGTGTAACTAAAGATAATAAAAAAAAAAAATGTGTAAATTATTATTATTCTGCAAGTAATTGAGTGGGTTATGATAAAAAAATCACCCTGTATATATGAAGAGTGAATGTGTCAAACGTTCTATGTGCCAAAAAAGTGAAAAATTGTTTTATTTCTGATTTATGTTCTATGTACCAAAGGCCACAATCTTGTATGTGTTTCAAATGTCAATTAAATTTTTTACTTGTACAAAATTGCATTCATAGATGGTGTTCGTTATGTGAGACATGCCCATGTTACCATTGTTTTTTGTGTTTTCTGAACAAATATGTTTTTGGCACATAGAACGTTTGACACATTCACTCTTCATATATTCTTACCGTAGTTTGAGTTGATCATCGTTTTGGATAAGTTTTGTCCAAACGTGGTGGTCGCTTTTTTGCGCAAATCCGTATTAAGCTGTTTTTAAGGAGCCAACCAACGATATTGCATAAATCTGATACATTTATGCAATTTGGTAACTACCACGCCATGTTTTACAGCTTGTTTTAGAGCTCGGTAATGTACAATGTAACCACGTTTGGGATCTAGTGTAGTCATCAGTTTACTACATTTAGAAGACATTAATGGCGGTTTTTCGTTTACAGGAAAAAACGGTAAATCGTTGTGTAAATCGTGTAGTTCTCGGGGATAATCTACATCGACCTCTGCAAGATAACCGTATTTACCGTCGTCGGGTGTGTTGAGTATCTCTTCCAATGTAACAGTAACCACTCAAAATAGCCAAACGGAATGGGTTCCATCATTGCTGTAAAAATAAACAAATATTATTGTATACGTGTATAAAAATATATAAGTACAATTCTTACCCGTTCCATATAAATTAGTAGCGTCTAAATATTGAAGATACTTGTGTGCTTCATTGGGTTTGTAATCGACTAAGCCTGGGTGGTTTGCACGTGCATATCTCTGATTAACCTATATTTAATAATTACTTTTAGTTTGATATATTTTATTAATTTTTTTTATTCAATGTTCAAACATTAACAGCATATCTGGATCCGATAACAACTGAATGTGTGCGTTTGTGTACTTTAATATGGCGTCAAACGAAAGGGCCGGAGATGAAAAGTAGTGTGCAGGGTCTAGTTTATAATTTTTCAAGCTTTCCTTACGGAAATTTTCAAATACATCAGCTAGCACCTGTAATAATAATAATCAGGGTTCGGATTTTATAGCATTTGCTACTTATTATAGGATACAGATAAAAATAGCAGAGTGGGCTATAAATTTGTTTTATGCACCAGAGACTTAAAATATGAAATTTTATTTTGCTATTTTTGGCATATTTGAAGTATTTTAGGTTTTTAGTGCTATTTTTTGTTAAAATACGTAACTTAATGCTTTATTTTGTATTTTTTATAAATCTCGTTAATATTTAGTGAAAAATAGTATTAATTTATGTGAATCTATAAGAAAAAATCCCACATTTTCGTTTTATATTGAAAATTGATACTAATATTGATTATGAGTCATCTATTTTTAAGTAGCTGGGCGTAGTCAAATATATTTATACATTTTATACCTTCTTAACTGTTTTGCTTAAATTTATTTTATTATTGTTCAATAATGTTGATGATATGATATACTGTCGACTATAGTGCGTATTTTAGCGTCAGTCAGTTCTCCGTATCGTTTGATTTTGTTTCATATTCGTTCATTACTCAATAATGTATTATTTGATTTTCTGTTTCGATATTTAACGTAAAATGCCGAAAGATAAAACATCGAACTATTCGAGACTTTTTTGTCCGAGTTTGGCGATCAGGTTTTTTCGATTGATGCANGAGTTTGGCGATGAGGTTTTTTCGATTGATGCAAGTATTCTGTTTTGCAAATTGTGCGAATGTAAAGTTAATAGTGACAAAAAGTTTAACGTTACTCAACACTTAAAAACGGAAAAACATTTAAAGCCATTAAAAGAGAGCAAAATAAAATTGAAATACAATTATTATATGTCAATGTTCATAGGTAAATATTTTAATCTAATGATTTGCAATTGAAAGTATTAAACATAATCCGTGCAATTTAAATAAAATAATAGAAAACGTCATCCGTGTGACTTACAAAATAGAAATTCAACTGTCTAAAAAAAAAACAAGGAAAAACAAAAATGATACTTAATCTTATTACATACACATGTCGACCGGCAATGATAACCGGCCGACGCCGACAAGTGACCGGGAGAGGAAGAGAGGACGAGTGAACAGAACTGAATAAGCGCGCTATCTAGTATTTTTAAGCAGCGCGAACACCTGAATATAATAATAGTTATATATATATATATATATATATATATATATAATTGTTGAATGGAATAGGTTATGTAATTAAAAGATTTAGAAATTATTCGTAATATAATAGTATTTAATATACAGGGTGTTCAGTAAGTCAGGAAACTGGTTTCCTGTTCTCTATTGTTCTCATTGTTACAAACAATGAGAACAATAGAAACCCGTTTCCTGACTTACTGAACACCCTGTATAACATCAAAACATATAATATAAGAGATGTACAACGGCAACAGGTCACTTTACTCGATAGACGGCGAAACTACGACTAAACTGTAAACATGTATACAATAGGCTGCATTGAGTAAAACAACATAATCGTAAAAGGAATGTGTCCCTTTGACCTTGTACTATACTAACATAAGTAAAAATACATTAAACTCTTATCTTAAATAATATTACTGTACCCAGTGTGTTGTTTAATAATATCAACAATAATTTTTTTCTGTATACCATCACGTTGACAAGTAAATACTCGTCACTGTATTCGCCAAGAGTCTTGAATCCAAAATGTCGCCACATATTTTTTGCATGCTCATAATCATTCTCGGACACCGTAGACAGTGTATCGAACTGTAAAACTCACTGCGTGGTTGAAGCTGTTTTTCATTGAGCCGTTCCAAACAGTCCACGTACTCATAAGGAAAAACCGATTTCTTTGTCACCAAGTCCAACGATTAAAACACGTTCAACGTGTGTACGAAATCCGGACGCGACAATGTTGATGTTACTTTAGACAGACTAGCTTGTAGGAACCGGTACGAATCTATTAATCTTATTTGAAAGTATTCACTAATAGTTTTACTGAATGAAATATATTTTTCTTCGGACTGAGCTATTACACCTATATCTTCTTTGTCGTATGTCATTTCTTGTATAATCATGTGTGCGTCGAAGTTGGAAAGACCGTATAAGATAACCGGCATGAAAGCCGGAATACGTCGTTGTAAATTACAGTTGTTGCATAAAGTGGCACGGAATTTTGTCGTCCTATGGTTGTGGTCTTGGACTTTATAGACCTTATCGGAAAACGTTATCGAACACGATTCACAATTTTTAGCATTATCGAAACGGTTTTGTTCCTCCACCGCCAACCGCACCATTTCAATGTTAATTTTCATAATATCAGATACTCGTTTAGCTATAGTTACCAATGACATGACAAATTTTTTTGCTGCATCCGGTCCACGATACAAGACCGGATATTTCGGTAAATCAGCACACATATTATCCGGTAAAATATCGGAATCGTGTACAACGAAAAAGCAACTGCTCATTGTCTCGTGGTTTTGGATAACAACATAGTTTTTCGATATTCGTTTGTCTGCACGGCGAAGTAAGCTTTCCAAGTCGGCGTAAACTATTAACGGTACCGGTTCCTCACGTCTCGTATTTTTGAAGCGTAATATTGACTGGTCCGAATCGACTGGGGGTAGGACAGCTCGCGCTTCCTTAAACTTACCACACATTTTCAAATGCTCATCCAGACCCGCTTGTCCACTCGGATGGGACGATAGCGTTCGGTCCGTAAACACGCTGAGGCAGCGCTTACAATAGATTTCATGATAATGACCGGCACTTCGTTGTTTGGAGACTAATCTAGAGAAATTTTGTATGTAGCAATAATGGCTATTACCACTCTCCGTAATGTATAGTTTATTGATGTGTTCGGTGTTCGAACGTAAATTGGTAATACGCAATGGATAAACATTATTTTTATCGTCCAATGCAAACACGTTGATGGACAAAAACGGGTTGTTACGTTCAAACTTATTTATTTGTTTAATTGGAGTAGGAAAATCAATACCGTTGAAATTAATATTTGAATTTTTTTCTAAATTGAGATAACCCGTATTCCACTGATCTTTGTTTTTTGGTATTATATCTCAATAGAATCGCCCATTTAAAACATTGATTGTCGGTTTTATTTTGAACATTTATAATAGCTTGTTTGTGTTTAATACACGATGGAAGATCAATGAACGAACTACCACGCAACGGTGAAAATTTTGTAACTCTTAAAAGTAGTCCGTCTATGAACAGCAATGTCCATCCGCTGCCTCTGGTTTCCATTGTTTCTTGTTCCTGGGCAAGTTTTTCATTGATTTTATTATAAACACCGGTGTAATCAGTGCCTGAATCGATAGTTTTTTGCGTGTTTTAAATGAGACGTCCCTCAGTTCACCCATAACATGATGTAAATAAGTTGTGTGCAAAACAACGTTAAATTTTATTAAACCACCTTCGCTCGAATCTTTCAATACATTAAACAAATCATCACCGATGTAATAAATAAAATTTTTAATTTTGTCAATTTGCGTTTTGTTTTTAAAAAAAAAATGTTTTACCCGTCTTCCGAGAGCTGTTTCTATCGGCATAAAACCGAAACCTACTGTATGCATACAATTACGTTTGGTCACCTTATCATTCATTGTACGTGTCGACAAGAGTCGTTTTTGTAGACAACCAACAGTAGCAATAGCCGTTTGTCGATGATCCAGGTTCAATTTATGATGCAATCCGTCATTATCGATAAACGATCGACCGCAACCGCAAATATATTCATATAAACTCGACATATTGACAACTAAGATAAGTAAATAAGTTCATATTTAACAAAAAAAATATATATATATATATTTCACAAACCATACATTACTATTCAACTATTCAGTTCAATGTGTAATATTCATTTAAAATTTATTTTATTTTATTTTTTAATTAAATAGTAACATTTCAATATTGTGTTAGGTATTTTTCATATGGAAAAAATGCTATAGCTTTCAATTTAACACCATAAGTGATCAATTATTTAAAAAATTAATAAAGTTTGATTGTATAGTTTGAAAATTGAAATTTTAATTACGTTAAAGACAATTTTTCTTTTTAGATTGATTCTCTTAGAATCAATACATTTTAGAACTACAGATGTGTAATAAATATATATGTATATAAACACACAAAAAAATTGTTTATAGAATGATTATTTTCTATTCACAGTCAATATTATTATTATTTATTTAAGACTGTGTAAAAGTTTTTATATAATATACTAATCATAAATATTTAAATAAAAACATGAGTAAAATATACAGTAATGTTTAATTTATTGAAAATCAAATATGTAAGCATTTCCGATTTTGCCATTATATTTTAAGAATATTTTTTTATCATTATTATTGTATTTGATAATTTCTTCATCTGTTAATTTTATTCTTGGTATAAACACATGGTTGTTGTCTATGAGTTGGGCAACCACCACCGTACCATTTCTTGTATTAACATTTTTCATAGCTAATACTTCATATTTTTCTTTTTCTTTGAGATCGCTGAGTTTTAAATAACATTTAACTTCAGCTTGTTGGTTCAATTTCAAGCTGTCCATAGCTACCTTAATATATATATATATATATATATACATATATATAACTATTATAAGTTATATATATATATATAACTATTCGGTAAATTATATCTTTGTAATTCATCTACTAAAACATAATATTAACTTTTTTAATGAACCATTTAAATAATTGATCATCACAATAATGACATTTGAACTGTGATGGAAAATTGAAAATTAAATAGTACATACTATTCTGATTAATGGATATTTGATCTTTAATATATTTTATTGTAAAACTATCTTGATCATACGCCATATCATGTATGCAATCATCAGTTGTGCATATGTAGTACATAATTTCATTATTTACATTATGTGATAATATAGAAAAAAAATTGAACTTCAAATAATTTTTTTCCCCAAACAATAAATTGTATACGCCTGAACGGATTTCAGATTTATAAATTTCAGTCACTTCTAATCATATCTAGCGTCACGGGAGTTTTTAATGCATCTTCATATTTAATACCTTTCTCAAACACCGTAAAATTTCTTGATTCGTACAAAATGTCTGCCAATATATTAAATTGAGAAACATTTTGAGCTTTCAAGTACTTTACGATGTCTTCGATATCATTTATGCTCAATGGAAGATGCATTGTATAAAAGTTTTACGACTAAAATTAATAAAAAGAAATATGTACTCTGCGAACTGAATAGTAGAGTTTAATAACAAAAATTTTAATAACTTACTTTGATTTTTATTCTTTAAAAAAAGAGCAATTAAAACCTCGATGGAAAATTTATTTTCAATATTTGCAAATGAACACAGTGAAAATATCTTCCTAAAGATTAAAAATTATTTTCACAAACATTGCTTCAGAAAAAATATATAAATATGTAAAATATAGCATTCTTTAACTCGATTTTTGAATTATTTCTCCCCAATATGAAATGTAACTGAGAGAATATACTGAAATAATTTTACTGAAAATTAAAAAAACATTATTGTCAAAGTTATTTTACTTTGAAAATAGTAACTATATATTACTTACGTTATTAATGATTTTCGATCTTAAAAAATAAGACCGATGAACATAAAGAAACAAGTAGAACACATGAAAACGAATTATTAAAAGTATAAATGCTGTTTCTCCAGTTATATAGCAAAATAGATTTTTTTTTACACGTATAAAGGTGATAATCGGTAGGAGAAAATCCCTTTAGTTGGTTTTTATATATATAAGCTATATATATAGCTAATTATTTTTTTGACAAGTAATCATAAAATATAGAAATTAATACATTCGAATAATATACAATTCACTTTGATATTTTTTTATAAGACGTTTAGGATTTTACACATTGTGTGTTATTATTAAGATAAGATTAAAAAGAGCTGACAAGTATAGTTTATGAATTTCTCAAAGAAAAACAATCATGTTATTCTTATGAATATAAGTTATAAATAAAAATATGAATAATCTTAAATAAACGACCATTGTTGTGGACACAAACAGAGCAGTCCACTGTTATTTCATATTATGATAGTGACGACACATTTCTGTATTTGAGCTAACCGTCAATGTTACCTAAGTTAATAACTTTTCTAGTTTTCTAGATATTGTTTTCCATAATCACCTGACTACCTCCTTTACTTGAAATATTTTTCTGAAATTCGTGTGTATATTAATTACTATTCGGTTACTGACAAGCAATTTTTTGATACTATACATATATTTAAGGAACACGAGTGTGCACTTTACATATCCGATATAAACAATTCACACGCCCTCAATGACTTTATCACGTTTGAAATAATATCCTCTACATTATGTTCCCTGAATAATAATATACATTATACTTTATATAAGTACATCATAGTTGCAACTTATTAGTACCATAATTATTATGCGTTTAGATAAAATCTCAAGGCAAAACGAAAAATGAAAAAATTCGACAGTTGATATTAGATTAGATTTTGAATCCGATGAAAATTTTCCGACCAACACTACAGCATATTGTTTGATTGTATACGATAAAATATTTGAATACATCCCTATGACAAACGAAGTTCATAAAATATTATAATTTCTTTTTTTTCTACAAATAATGTAAAATTTTATATTCATAAAATACTAATGATTACTGGAATATATATTTTACTATTAAAAAGGAACGTGTTATTTATTTTAGTACCTTAACCTTATTATATTTTATTTATTTACTACAAAATTATCGTAAAATATTTCTTTGATAAGATATATCGATGATTAATCAACATTAAGGAAAAAAGACGTATATAAGTCATTTGAAAGAAGGAGACATCCTACAGTCTCTCCAGTGATTTTATTCTATATTGAAATTTATAAATACTAATGACTAATTGTTCAAGGTTCACAAAAATTACAAACGAGTTTTTCCAACATTCGATTTTCTCAAAGTATTCGAAGTGACAATACATCTTTCTTGATGGTACGAAATTATGTTAGTAGTTATATCTAAAAGAAATACACATTGCCAACGGTTGTATTAAACATTCTATTCGAGTAGTATGAATAACATATTTTTATAACAAACGACCTAGTAGTAATGCTATGAAATATAGCGCCTACCCATTATGCACGTGTTCGATGGTTTTTATCAAATACAACGATTGTCTGTATGTCTGGAATGTGTAGTGGAACCACATGGAAGGAGTACTCAGCATTTACAAAATATCGACTTAAACTTAAACGACAGCGTCGGGGATGAATTAACACAGCTGTATATAGGGTTGTGACATATTAAACGTGCGGACTCGACGCGTACTATACTCACGTTGAACCGTTAGCGTGTACCTAGACTGGAATATGAACTTTTTTTTTTTTTGATGGACCCGACATTGAGTAGATCCTGTGCACCCATTGTTTACCAAACAAATTATTACGTAGACACTGTAAATATACAGTATGACGTGTATACGGACTTGGAAAATTATTTAATTTTATTAAATAATTAGTTAATATACATTAATTAATAATATTATGGTCGGCTAGGGCTGGGTTCCAACGTACATAGTATGCGACATCAACACTTTCACTGGGGCCCCGGCGGCATGACAATCGTCACCCGAAGGGTACTCCTATAGGTAACGTCATTTTGACGTCACCGCCACTGGTTTGTCTTGGATTATCACACAATCAGTGTGACGTCACCAGCGCGGAGTGCATCTCACCTGTACACCCATTGTTTACCGAGAACAATAGATAAAGTAATTTGTCGGCACCTTTGAGAGCCAAAACGCATCATACCATTACTACTGCCGATTTAAAAAAATAAAATGTGTAAATTTACCGATTCTAAAATAAGTACAAAATGATTGTTAAATACCTCATGTATCTATAAAAAAAATGGTATTGATCCATACATTTTTCAAAAAGTTATGGCAGTTTTAAGTAAAAAAAAATTGAATAAATGTTGAAATTTAGAGATTTTTAAATTTGTAATACTTTTAGAGATTTGTCACATTTACAGTGAAGACATTTTTCAATTTTCAAGGTGTCTTCAACTAGAAAAATGTTGTGATTTTTAATATCAACAAACAATATTGTTTAAAAACTAACTGAGAAAAAGTGATAACGTACACAAAAATTACACCAATTTAGAATTTTTTTTTAATGAACAATAAAAATATTTTTATTGGGGTTATCAAATTATATGAAAATATAGATACCATTAACGTCATACACCTAAAAAATAAGGTATACAATAAAAAGTATTTTTAGTATCATATAAATTCTTTTTATTATACCACAACAAATAATTTTTTTCAAAAATAAGTACCTAAAAAAAAACATGGTTAAAAATTAAATTATAGACCTACATTGCTTGGCTAATTAATAAACGTAAAAACTGAATTTTTATTTGTTAAATATTAATAATTAATAGTTGGAATAATTTATTATTCTAAAATAATGAAAAAATAAACATAAAAACAACATACCAATGACAGCATCAGTTAAAAATTTTCTTTGTCGTATATGGCCTCGTTTCCTTTGTTTGTGCAAATGCATTTGTGAAATAATCAAATCTTTGTGTTTTACTAGTTGGATAATATAGTTTTTCACTTGATTTCCATAATGAATAATACTGTTGTAGTTAAAATAGAAATTATCCTCTGTAATTGTAATGGTTGGTTCTCTTTCCAACTTTATGCCTTTGTTAAACAAAACACATTTTAATGATTCAAAAAGATTGATGAGTATATTATTATTAGTAATTGGCCAATTACTATCAAAAACTTCCAAAAGTTGTTTTATTATTTTTTTACAGTAGCTAACTAAATCATAACATGTCTCTTCTAAAATATTAAGATCTTTTATTTTATTCAGATATTCTATTACTGTATTGGCTAATGGTGTAATAAGTGGACAAATATTTTTATTGTAATACCATGAGTTTATATTGGAAGTTGTAAGACTAATAAGAAGATTATAATATTTACTTAATAATACTAAACAAGGATATAATATAAATCTTCTAATTAGTTTTTGAAATGATGCTACATGACGATGATAAAAATGGAATTTTATGAATCGAAATGCATCTGATAAAGTTAAATTACTACCGTCCGCACATTGTATATTTAAGGGAGTAAATCGCAGAAGATTTAAGTAATCGTGTGCTACGTTCGCTTTAATTTGTCTTTTTTGAGATCCATCCATAAAATTATTTTCATTTTCAATAGGTTGGTAGGTGAATAAATCATAATGGATTATATTTTTTGGATAAAATAAATGTTTAGAGTTATGTGTACATGAGTTAGTATTTATTTCCTTCGTAATTTTATTTTCTAGATCCTTAGTTACCAAAATTAATTGCTCCATATTTAGTGTGCAAGATTCATCTATAATTTTTGGATATACTACAAATTTTGACACCACTATTTCATCATTACATTCATTTCTAATATAATGAAATAACTGTGCCGAAATATGTTCATGAATCTTCTGGTACCCTTCCAGTAATAGCAATATCTTATTTTCTTTTGTATTTTCATTAGATATGTTTATACTAATTATATTGACTGACCCTGATACATTGTTTAGATATAAATTTACAGCCATCAAGTCTCTCGCGTAATAATCACTTTTCAAACAGTATAATTCTGCAAGCATCAATAATATGATATCACTATGAGACTGAATTGCTTCTCCGTATTTTTTTAAATCTTCTTCAGAGATATTTTCGACAGTTTTATTAAAGCGTAACAAATATCGTTCACAATATATAAAATAACTGAATATGTATCTTGAAAAATTGCAATGACGTTCTTTTACGGATGTGCTTACTGCTGATAAGTTAACTAATAAACAAGTTAAAATAGTAAAATAAATCATTTTTAAAAAATATGTTTAGAAAATGCAGTAAAATAAAAATTAAAAAATAGATTTACTAAATCGTAGTGTTACTTGAATATATAATTTTTATTACACGACCTTTTAAAATGACTAAAGTTCTTTCGAATTAATTTGAAAGTAAACAATTTTTATAGAAATAGATCATTGAATTTTATCATATTTACATTTTTATATATAATTTATTTATCTCTGTATTGTTTTTAAAATTAGTTAATTTAAATAAATATTAAAATAAATTATGGAACTTTAAAATCCCATATTTAATTCTTATACAGATGTTGTAACTTTTGATCGACTGAAAAGTTTGTGTTTATTTATTTATATTATCATTTTTACAGTTTGTTTATAAGTTAAAAGCAATTTTTTAGCTTTGATGCAAAGCTAAAAATGATGTTTTTTTTTATGTCTGTTACCACTTTATCTCAGCTCTCACTGGACCGATTTCTTTTAACAATACGTCAAAAGATCACAAATCGTATCTCATTGAAGACATTACACTTAAAAATTGAACATTTTTCTTTCGTTCCCCGCAAATGGGGGAAATCTACAAAAAAAATTACAATTTCTAAAATCGGTAAATTTGGTCATTTTATCACTTTTTTTTCTTAAAACTTCCATAACTTTTTCAAAAATCAACAAATCAACATATTTTTTTTTATATTAAAACCTTAGATATTTTCCTTTCATATGATATCATTATTTTAAATATTTAATACTTAACCTGCTCACAGAGAGGGATTTAAAATTGTAACTTTTTTACAAAACTAACTTTTTCAACTTAACTTTGGAAAATGTCCGGATATACTGCGTCCTTTAAACTATGTCAAATTAAAGCTTATGTTATGTACTATAAAATGAAAAAAAAAAATTTGTCCCGACACTTTATCTTCTACATGCAAACGGCTACCGCAGTTTAAAAAATGGTATTTTTGTGTTAAAATTTTCGATATTAAATTTTCAACTTTAAAATGCTATAACTTTTTAAAAAATGTATGTATCAATACAATTTTTTTTTTCTAAATACATTTTAAGTACATATTTCATTTGACATACATTTTATTAAAATTGGACAATTTCCTCTTATACAGTTTATAGAGTTTTTAATTTAATAGTAATTGGCATTTGAATTTTTAATATAACTTTATTCGTTTATTAGATATAAATATTTAAAGTTTCAAATTTTTGAGTTAATATACATGTATAATACACAAGGGATTACAAATACAGGTAGCTAATTGGTTTTTTATGACATCAATATTCGCAGGTACACAGAATTGTTATAATCAATGGTAAATACACTAACTGACTACATAGTCATAATTGATAATAAACAATCCGTGACTGTGACAGCAATGTCATAAAAATCATTTAGCAACCTGTATTTATAATCCCATGTGTATTATACATGTAAAGTAACTCAAAATTTTGAAACTTTAAATGTTTATATCTAATAAACGAATAAAGTTATATTAAAAATTCAAATGCCATTTACTATTAAATTAAAACTCAAACATTTTATTAAATTAAACATAGAATAAAGTTCATAAGACATAAGAAATTAAACTTATTAAAACTTTTTTACTTTTTTAAAGTCGAAAAAGTAATTTTTAAATTTGAATTAGCTTAAATTGCTAATTTTATTATATGTCGGAAGCAACGAATAGTTGACG